AAAAGGCTCCGTCCTCTCCGAGCCTCCATTTGGACCTCGGCACCTCCAGGAGCCACAGCAGAGAAATCTACCGATATGTAGTCTCTGTAAGTAGATCTAGGGAAAAACAAATACTGGTATCGGTTATCGGCCAAATTAAGTTTAAACATACTGGCATATCAGATATCAGCCATAATCGTGCATTCCTACTCTGAAGTCAATCAGAATTGTTTGTCTGTTTTTAAAATCTGTATGTTAGGTAGATTATGTAAAATAGAAATGGCAAGGCTGTAAATATTAGATCTGTTGTTTATTCTGTTACATTTTAATTATGTGCATATAGACCTGAAAAGCATTGTTCACAGTTATTCAATCCAGAAACATGAATATATTTAAAGTTAACTTATTTGACTTTGAAATTAAGCGTTGCTTGAATAAAATGAATACATTTGTTTAAGTAAAGGTTGTGACCATTAGGTAGTCACAGGATGAACCTTGGGGGCCGTGAGACTAATTAGAAAAGAAAAGGTGAGTATTCGTTTCCACAAACTGTCTCACGTCTTGTGCATGTTGATGAAGGTTTTTAGGTACATAAATTATCATTTCAAGGGGTCAGAAGCAAAAGTTTGGAGACTTTGGAACACGGAGGATGGCTTTTGATTTTACTAAGAGGAAACATTTTTTTAAAGAAGAGCTTGTTACAGGTCTCATTCAGACCCATAATGGTAATATTCTGGTAGTACCAATGTATATTTTGTTTTATTATTTATTTTATTAACCTTTATTTAACCAGGCAAATCCCATTTACTGTCTTAAACTTCTTCACTGGAAGAAAAATGTGGAGAAATTAAGGATTTCAAAAAATTCAAATAAAATAACACACCAAATAAAGAATGAACTTTGTAAAATGCTTTACGTGCATGATTATAACAGTTTTCAAACGATCAATTGGTGATCTGCTTTAGGAAATAACTTATGACTGTAATGAGCATCTCTTGGGACAATTTGTTGTTGCATTTCTTGCCAAAAGTAACCAAAAAGTAAACAGTTAAATGGTAGCTGAAATTGTTATAGGCATACAAAATACACATGCAAATTGACTATAATACTCGTCTTGTATGAGCTTATTTTTTGCAAAATTGTCCTTTGCATGTATGATTGTCTTGTAAATATGGCTAAGAAAGAAAGTAATATTTGATTGAAAACCTTTTTTTCCCTAATTAACTGATTAGCAAAGAGGTTTTAGTTTAGTATTTTTGAAAGTCAAGCTTATTGATTTGGCTTTTCTATGCATTTATTAAATTAGTGTAACAAAACAAACAGAAAATACAGGTATATGGACTCAGAAACTTATTTTAACTGTTTTATATCCAGTAAACTATACAACCCATCAACAAAACTGTGCAAAACTCCGTTTCGATCTCAATTTTTGTTTGCTTTTGTTGTAGGAATATTGGTCTTCTGCGCTTACCGTAGTTAGTATAAAGCCTGTCTTAACCGGAAGTTCCACCCCTTTTCATCCCCTCTCTTGTGGACTGAGTGAGTTTAACGTTCTCACGCCAAATAAAATCACAATATCAATCTCCATCCATCCTCCTTTTCAATTAGAATTACTAAGACGTGTTTATTAAAGTGTAAATGGCAAAATAATTATTTGCATAGTGACACAAGTATTTAATTTTGTGGCCGTTTTCATCCTGTTATAACGATAAACTGTTTCTCTGTCCTTCCGCAGCGTTCAGTCCGCTGACACGGCAGCATGGTGAGATTTCTGGTTAATTCATATACAAATACTGCTCATTATATAATCAGATGTGTTATGTGTAGTATCTATAAACACGTAAATCGCTCAAAATATTTGTATTTCGATGACGAGCTAGCGAATTGGTTTCGCATTGGGGATTAGCATTAGCAGGATGTAGCTCAAACATAGGCCTTAGCCTTTACGTAAATTAAATAGTTCGATTTAAAGTTAATCAGCCAACGTATTTATAACGAGTTGGGGTTTCTTAAACTCGTGCTATGGTCTTAAACTGCTTAAACCTGCATTTTGTCTGTCGCAAGAGTCCAAGCATCTCAGGCTGACGTGCCCGTGGTGCATTTCAAGCTTGCAAGAGCAAAGAATGGACTTAGTGCTGAGTTTTGCTTTTACAACAGAAACTTCAGTTCCACCGGTTCAGTGACACCAGCTGCAGTTTTCAACAGTTTCTGTGACGTGTTTGTTTCAATGCTAACTGTCTGCTCTGGTCGTTTGCAGCCTCGCAAGATAGAAGAAATTAAAGATTTCCTGCTGACAGCCAGGAGGAAGGATGCCAAGTGTAAGAACAAGCCTTTTAAGTTTTACAGTCAAAACATGCAAATTAGCCATTTAGCTTAACAGTGAGACATAATGCATGACTGCACTGAATAAACGTGCACATACAAGCCGGATGAATCCACACAAATCGAAGATGGAGCTCAGCGTCCGTGCATAATAATGTACATTTTAGCACCTTTATTTATTTCTTTGTCACCAATTCAATCAACTTTTTGAACATTGTCGGTAGGGATTAGCGGTGCCATTGATATTTAGCTCCTGGTGTCTCTTTAGAGCATCTTTTTCTACATTTTACAAATGCACTTGATTTTTGAACAATAGTGTTGAGACTGAGCTGTCTGCATCAAGAGTTACATCATGGTCCAGGAATTGGTTCTTATTGCATCATATTTATATGGCACAGGTCACAAACTTGTTCGAAATGATAAAGATTAAACAAGAGTGCCAACATTTGCTGCTTTCCCCTGTTGAAAAATATGAGGGAACTACTAATCAATGATCTCTAGTTGTTATAAAGCTGACGCAATTCATGTTAGGGCCACTTAACGTTTTAAGATTTTATGTTCGTAAATGTCTTTTTTTATTGGTAAGGGTCAAGCAAGCCTGTTCAACTTTTAAGCCCTTCAATAATTATTTGTATTTACCGTCGCTGCATATCTCTTAACTTTTTACAGTCAAGTCTAGGCGTGTTGTAGAATTCCTAACTAATTATTGCTGTTGTTTTAAGGTAATTTTACTAATAACTGGCAACGATTTGGGACCACGCAGCTTCATGGAGGTTTGTGTAGAGAAGTTAACGCCTCGTCTTTCTGCTCGTCCTCAGCCGTAAAGATCAAGAAGAACAAGGACAACGTTAAGTTCAAGGTGCGCTGCAGCAGGTACCTGTACACGCTGGTCATCACCGACAAGGAGAAGGCAGAGAAGCTCAAACAGTCGCTTCCTCCAGGTCAGTCCAGATCAAACCGTGCGCACGCAAATGTCTGTGGACCTTTAAGATAAGGACGTTATTCTGCATTTACAGAGGCAACAGAAGTTGTCAACTTTCAGAGCATGCGCAACAGTGTTGGGAATTAAATGAGTGAATGTATAATCCGGATTAATCTCAACTTGTTGGTTGAAAGGGCTTTGATGGTGTCTTGGTCTTTTGTTGGTGACGTTTCGGTTGTGCCATAATAAGGAATACATGATTTTATTGGAGCAGATTAGGATTATTGAGGTGCTTTGATAAAGATGGACTCAGACTTATTGTTATTGTATTGTTAGTTTTTTTTTTTTTGTGTAAAGTATCTTCTCTAAAAAAACAAATGGAGTTAAAGAAGCACAAATTATTTACTAGTGAAAGTCCGGAAGCTTTTAAGAATACAGAATGTTCGTTTCTTGCAGAGTTGTTGACGGAAAGCGATAAACTGGTGAAATCCAAAATAATTAGTTTATGGTTTGAAAATAACATAATTTTCTAATTTTGACACGGAAAGTTGCAGTAAAACTGAAAACAGTTTAGAAGTTGAACCCTTAACGTGTGCAAGAGTTTATAGATGCAGTAATGTTGAAGGGACAAAACACTTCAGCCACTTTATTTACGTTTGTCCGAGTTTCTATAATGAGTTTTGTTTTTTGAACCCGTCCAGAGGACTTGATTTAACTAAGATTTTTCTAACTGGATTATTGCGCATGCATCACAATATTCAATAATGGTTGTTTCTGTTAATAATTTAATGTGGAAATTTATTTAGTAAAATAAATAAGCTGTTGAAAAGTAAAAACGTTTATTGTATTTTGATGTTTTCTGACTTTTTTTTTTTTTTCTTGTTGCAGGTCTGGCTGTGAAGGAGCTGAAGTAAATCTAAAATGTACAAATAATTGTAATAAAAAATGGAAAAAAATTAACTTTGTTGTCTTCCACTGTGTAAAACTAAAGTGATCAGCATCCAGCTCAAAAGACGACGGTGCAGCACATAAAATGTAAAGTGATCCAGTGGATCATTTCATTCTATACCAGGGTCATTAAACGCGTGAATGGTCAAACTTTTTAAACCGCTTTAAAGGCCCCTAAACTTACGTGTGGAAAACGTTAAATGTGTTGATTTTAAGGTTTGAGTTGTACTTTTTAAATGGAGATTTGTAAAATGTCAATGAAAACATAATTTTTTTGGAATAGTGCGCCCTTGTATAAAAAAAATCTCTTGAATGAAATGTGCTCCTAATTAATATTAGCTCAGTTTAAGAGGAAGACTGGATCTATCATCGTGGAACGGTGCTGGAAAACCTTAAAATTTATTTTTTATAGTGCTTGAAAAAACAGGACTGGGAAATCGGACTCAACTCCTGTAATGACCTTATGTGACCACTAGATGGCAGTACAGGATCAAAACTACAGAAGCGAGTAAAACTAAAAAATACTGTCAACACAACAGTCGACACGTGCGCGTCGTAGTGTTACAATGCGATTCCAGATTAATTCAAAACCTTTGAGGCGAACTCGTGCGCGCTCCCGCACCTCCCGGTCCCTAGCGCGCGCGCTCCCGCTGTTGACGGAGCGGCTCGGGAGACGCGGTTCGTTCGGACAGGAGGAGCAGAGGAGGACACGAGCGGACAGTGACCGGAGTTCTTCTCCACAAAAGACATTCAGCTCCTCCTCGGGTCCTTGGACGACCACCGCCGTCCCCGCAGGACTTTTCCGTTTTTGTCCCCTCATGTTGGACTTGTTTGTTGTTGCCGCCTTTGTTTGATGTGAGGCTTCATTAAAAGGCACGCGCGCTTCCGGACGGACTGAGAAGCTAATTAGGAACTTTTTTTTAATTTTATTTTGCCCGGGGACGGGATGTCTTTAGTCCGAGTGGACTACATTGCGCCCTGGTGGACTTACTGGCTTCACAATTTCCCTCATATCAACTTAAGGTTTCAAGGCACGGACAAAAGCTTCCAGCCTGAAGATGAGGACTACCAGCAGGTCAGTGGAGGAGGAGGGGGGGGGGGGGGGACCCAGAAAACTGGGGCATAACGAGCCCGGAGCTGGAGCTGCTCACTGAATGCTTGGAGAGCAGGGCTACTCTAAATACTATCATTACTACTGTGTACATTTAAGTGTCAGAATTGAAATGGAGTTGTAGCCCCCGTCATAAATCTAATACATTAATGAGATCACCTGTGACAGAAACATTTCTTGTTTCAGAGTTTCACACGTTTCTTTCGCTGACTTTCAATTTTAGTTTTATTTTAAACGAACTCTTCAGCATCACGTGCACAAGCTGTGGCCCATGGGCCTTCAGTTGGTTGGTCCTGGCTGCAGTTTAATGTTCACATATTTAGGCTATACTGCAGAGGAGGGAGACTTTTTATTTTATTTTTTTCCCAAATCAAGATATTAAAAGTAAAGAATTAGAAAACACATTTTCTTTAAAACAAATATCCGAAGCTTGTAGCGTGCTTGATAAAAATGTGTCCAATAATCTTTAGGGTACGCTTTGTAAACTTTATCTTATGAAAGTATCTTAAATATGCAAAATAAAAATTTAAATTAAAACATTAAAAAAAAAAACAAGTTGACTAAAAATGTTTTAAACCCAAAGGTTTTTGATGCATTTGTCCAAGATGCTTAATTTGAATTTCACTGATAAAATGCAGGTTTTCATGAACTTGCCGGGGGCCGGATAGAGATTGTTCAGGGGCCGCTTTTGGCCCTCGGGTCATATATTGTCCACATCTGCTATCTATGGTTTTTAAATTTTGTAGTGCCATGAAAAAAATTACAGAAATATATTTTTGCCGTTTCTTTCACATTTTATTATTATTTAGCTATTATATAAACTGGCGTGTTGAAGAACTTTTTTAATTAATTTAGGCGGTGAACGTTCGATTCAGTCCCGTGAGCCAAAATAAAACAAAAAATAAAACCTCCTGGGAGCTTCCTTCAAGGGTTTAGTTTGGGTTTGTCATTTTTATATATATCTCATGAACAAATGTAATGAAACACTCAAAAAGTAATCACAAGATTACAAGTAACTTTCAGTGTCAACCCCATTCAAGATGGCCGCCACAGCTAAGAGACCTGAGGAAACGTAAATGTCTAAAACTCTGTCAGTTGTAGAAACTGAGGTCAGATTTGGTGTGGTAGTAGATGAGAGTCATTCACAACACATACTCTGAGCTCTATTTGATCACACGGGATCTGTTTTTAAACTTTGCCTACAGCTACTGGAGTTAACTATTTGTCTGTTAGCAAAATATCTCATGAACCGCTGGATGCATTTTAATTAAATTCAGAGAAGTTACTCATTAGATGTATGTCTACAACTGTTTTATGTTTGGCTTAAACCCAATTTAAGATGGCCACCACAGCGGATGGACATTAGTCAACACAAACATGTCTAGAAGTTGGTCAGTTTTACAGATGCTGAGCTAAAATTTGGCGTGGTAGTAGCTGAGCTTCATCCTCAACACATATTCTAAGAGTCGGCACGTCTTACCTTCTGAGTGACCTCTAGGTGATCGTTCGATTCAGTCTTTGTTGTCGCACTTGGTTCAGGGAACATCTGTCTGATTTTGTTTAGCAGAAGCAGAACATCCACTGTGTTTTCAATTGGAACACGTCTTTAGATTTGTTTTGGAGTTTCTTGAGAGCTGGAGAGGGACACGGGAACTTGTGGGAGAATGTTGGCATCGATGCAGCTTCACTCCGGGGAGCCAAATCCATCCATTCCCACCTCCAGAGGCGGCGTGGCAGGACTTATTTCACTTGGCCTTTTAAGTGGGCCGGGATCAACGTTTCCAGTGACTAATGGCCAGCTCGCAAGCACTTTGAGTCCAACGAATGTTTAATTAACTCACTGTATAATTTTTATTAGGGTTGCAGCTTGGCACTTCTGCCAGAGCGAAGTAGATCCTGCTGAGAATAAATGACATTTAGCTCTGCTCTTAATCAGCACAAAGGTTCGCAGAGTGAGGGACTTTCTGAGCATTACATTTCAGCAGCGAAATTAAAAAAAGTCAAGTGTGGCGGGACGGATGGCATCTTCAAAGTTAAAGCAGGTGTTTTGCATCATTTACAGGTTGTAGTTGTTTATCATCACGCAATATACAGCGTACATTTGTCAACTAATGGAAACAGTTCCGCACGTCAAACATTTCCATTATTTAACGTTTATTAAACGGTGTTAATGGGATGAAGGACCTTTGGAAACGTTCTGACCAGCATTGTGGGTGTTGCAGCCCGCCACTGAAAGATCTGCTCCGAGCCCGGACGGTGTCATGGAGGAGGTGGGTTCTGTTGTTGGTGATGGATGCTAGCTTTGCCAACATCCTCCTTTCACCACCACCCCCCCCCCACACACACACACCTCAGAGGTGTCCAGAAGTTGGTCCAACACTGAGGTGGCCCTCCTGACCAGCTCACTCTTCCTGTCCCTTTCAGAATAATAAGATTAATTCAATCATTCAACCTTTATTTAGACCGGTTAATCCCTCGGAGCCTCGGGGACTCATTTACAAGAGAGTCCTGATGATACCACAGTGTCAGAGAGTTTTCTGCAGAGTCCTCTTTCTTAAAGGACCTCCTCAGTAAATTCCGGTGACGCTGGCTCTTTTTGTACAACACATTTGTGTTAGTGGACCAGTGTAGTTTGTCGTTGCCACATTTTCAATGATCAAATTAGAGCCTGACCGATATGGAAACTTTGGCTATCGTCGATACCAATATTTGGTGGGGAAGGTGACTGCTGGTAACCGATATACTGTAACGCCTGATTTATTTTTTTGCTTTGTCCACCCCAAGAATCTGAGTAAACAGCGAGTGCATGGAACAGGGCTTATTTAGCGCAGCTGTTAGCAACCATGCAGCTAAGCATGCTAGTCCCACAGTAAAACCACAAGTGGTGCACTGGTCATAAAAACAGTCTTCCTAACGTGCACTCACATTTTCTCTCCTCCACTATTCGCCATAAAGTTATCGAGCGTGTTGCATACATATAAATTAAACAAAGAAACACCTGTGCCCTGTTTATTGTTTAAACATTCAGTCACGTATGGTGATGGCCTAATTAATGACTGCAGCTGCGTTTTTTTTTCTTTGCAAAGAAGTTAAGATTTTAGACAAACAATGCATTTCAGTGAGGACGACAAATATAACATTAGTAACACTTGTATATTTACCGCTACGTTAGATTTATTGTTCTGGATAATAAATAGTAATAGCCTTTGCTAGGTTATCTAAACGTTAGCTTGCTAACTTGAGAAACTTGTAGCTAATGGCAAACGGGTTGGAGGTTTGAAAAGATTTTATTAATATTGATTTGTTTTACAGTTATCATCAATTAAAATAAACTTGCCATGCTCTGTTCAGCAAAATATGCTACGCTGTATTGTTCCCTGCTTCGTCTGGGCTGAATGTGAAAGTGAAACCTAAGTGAACGCAATGACTTGATAATAGTCTTCATGCGCCCTCTCCTGGATACATTGCACAATTACAGCCACTTCCCTGTGTTTTAGGGGTGAAAATTAGAAGTGCTTATATCGGCGCATAATGGGACAATTATCACTGATTCCAATACGTCCCCAAATTCTATATCAGCCTAAATTATCGGTATTATCGATATAGGCTATTAGTCGGGCTCTAGTTCAAACCCTGGATGTTAACTGGCATTGGGGATGGTGTATTCTTCCTGTAGTCTATCACCGTCTCCCTTGTCTTGGCGGTGTTGATGTAAAGGTAGTTAGCCTCGCAGAAGCGGACAAAGTCAGTGATGACCTCCCTGCATTGGTCATTCCCTTCAGATACACCGTCAGAGAACATCTGGATGAAGCAGCTGTCTGTTTAAAGTCTGAGATATACAATGTGAAGATGAAGGGCGGGAGGCTTGTAACAAAAAAAAACTTTTGTAAGAAATAAACTTCAAGCTTTATTTGTTTAGTAGCCAGTTGATGTGACTGATGGCTTGTTGTTTGGGGTGCAACTTCTCCATCTCCCTAAAATGGCAATGAAGCAACGTAACACTGGCAGGTTGTGTCTTGTCGGTTGTTTTATTTATATATTTTGGTTTATTTTCTTGTTTTGTTGTTGTTTTTCTGTGTCTCTGTTTGTCCCAGTTTCCTCTGTCAGTTGTTCTCCAGTTGCTGCCCCGCCCACTCACCTGTTCCCAGCCTTCATTCAGCTCAGGTGTCTTTGCTTTCTCATCAGCCTGTCTATATATTGTTTGTTTTCAGTCATCCACCAGCTGAGCTTTATTCATTCCACGTCCAGTCTTCTGTTTCCTTGTCTCCTCGTGCCGACCCTCATTTTTTTAATAAGTTGTGCTGTCAGTGTCTGTTTTCTTTTTTAATAAAGTTAAGTTTATTTTAAGAGCCTCGTGAGTCAGTCTGCATTTCTAGGTCCAAACCTCTACTCACCGCGACAAACACAAAGTGAGTTACTGTACATCCCTGAATTTAATTGAGTTAATGGATTACGGACACTTTTTGGGTAAATACTGGATTACCACCACGATGGAAGCCGAAAAACTTTGTTTTACATAATAAATTTTAGTTGCTTTTGAATTAAATAGTGTTTTTTTGCTCTTCGTTTTGTGGGAAGCTCTACATGCAGACAAAAACGTACCTATTAGGAGCAGGTTACCGGTACTTGAGTTGGTGGAAGCCAAAAGGCAGACAGTGTTTTTCTCCGTGTCTGTGCATTAAAAACCACCGGATCAGCTGATGCACTTCTATAACTGATCGACGGTTGAGTTCTGTGCAATTCAAGATGGTCGCCACAGCTAAGAGGCCTTATATGAAACACAAAAATGGATTTAACACAAGCAGCCCCACAGATGCGGAGCTCACATCTGCTGTGGAAGTAGTTGAGAGTCATCCTCAACATCTTCTCTGAGCACTAATGATGGCTAATTAAATCAAGCCTGTTCAGGCCAACTGACCTTAGAAAGCTCTAATCTTCACAAATATTGAAGTAAAACTTTGTGT